TAATATAGCTTAAATTTATTAACCTTATCCGAGTTTTAGTACTTTAAAAACCTAGCACTAAAATATAGAAATCGCTTGACAATTATATATCATGACCTCTAACTTCCATGTGTTTATATAACTCTAGACAGCAACATATTCTCTCGTATTTAGACCCCATATGGCAGACTGGGATTTAAATATTAGTTTCATTGTAGATACATAACTCTTACCGCATGCTATTTCCCAGCGTTTTGACGCTTGATAATATTTATATATTACTTAACAACAAAACATATAGCTGTATACCCCAAATATATAAGTTTTAGATATATAACACTCATGCTATTTCATATAGTATCAGATCTTTTATTCCTCTAGGAGCTAAATTATAGAAATCACTTGACAACAACAGCAAAATGCTATAGCTGTGCTTATAAAACTCAGACAACAACATATTCTCTTGTATATAGCCCTACTTTTCATATGGCAGACCGGGATTTAAATATTAGATATGGAAACGCTAGCAATGTATCAACGCTAGCATCTGTAAATGTAAAAAAAAAACACTCCTCAAACCTCCAATCATAGTAAATCGACATTAATCCCTCTATTTCAGAAACTAGTTGTGATGCTAATCGATCGCGTTGCCTGTCACATTTGGTCCAGGCTTGCCCGCGCTAATTGGTCGCGCTACCTGGCGTTATAGATTTTGAAAGCTCATCATAAATAGATTTTGCATACTAATTACTTCCGGCACCTAAGCTTGCATACTAATTACTTCTAGTTGTTTAATTAACTACGATTTTAGGTGCATGTAACAAATTGAGCTATATCAATATCATAGAAACCATTGATCAGTTTAAAAATAAAACAAGGTCTTTGAATTCATGCCAAAAAGAAATTTGTATTAGTTTAAGAGTTACAAGTCTATCTTTGTAATTGGATTGTGATTAGACAGGGGCGCCGGAGCCACGTACGGGGGCAAAGGGTGCAGCGGCCCCCGCTGCCTTAACAGTGCGGGGGCAGTGCGGGGCAACTGGTTGCCCCTTTTTGTGACAAAAAATTATTAACGGCATTAACTAATAAGTTATTATTGTTGACTGGCCGTCATATGTATAAGTACATATATTATGACCAAGTTCATTTCATGGTTCATTTAGGCATTACGCAGGCTACGTTGATCGTCTTGTTATCTCCAAGCCTTCTATATTTTTCTAGTTTCTTGAAACACCTAAATTTCTGTAGCCGATTAGCGCTGTCATGCTCTGTCCGACTGGCACTACAATAATGCATTTGTGATAAGTCTTTCCCTGTTCTAGATTGTTTTAGAGCATTCCAGCTTCTTGTGGTTTTCCACCCGAGATACGCAACTTTATTAAGTTCAGTTTTTAGTCTGTTAACTTCCTTTCGTCTACTATAATTAAATAAGAAGCACTGCATGACCGTGATAGTTAATTAGCCTTTCTCACACCGCCATTTTTGGGGTACTGCCTTTTCAAAATCTGAGATTGTACGCAGTGAATAACGAATTTGTATTATTACTATAGTTAAATATTTGAAAAAATGTTTTCACATGCATCGCTTAGAGTTTGCATGTCGTCTTCAAAAAAGTACCCCAAAAATGGCGAATTTGGCCTTCGTGAGAAAGGCTAATTGACTCGTTTTTTGGTTGCAATATACTGAACATCGGCATACACAAGCAAGGAAGCAAGGATTACAGATTGGAGTAATCGGTTTCTTTATAGTACAGTGTTACAAGTCTAACGCCCGTATTCTAAAAGCTCACTCACACTTAATGAGTGGAGGTTCAACCTGAGCCTCTCTTGGGTGAGTCTCAATGAGTGGAGGTTCAATCTGAGCTTCTCTTGGGCGAGTAGTCACATAGTAAAGAGCTAGCTCTCCAGCTACTAAAAAGCAGCAATGACACTCGAGAGAAGCTCAGATTGAACTTTCACTCATTGAATGTTAGTGTGAGTGAGCTTTTAGAAATTAGAATACGGGCATTCGCCTTTGTCGGTTTATTATTCCTTTATCCTATTACAGTATCAATTTAGTTTACTCTACATTGTTGTGCGAGTATATTTGCATGCATGAACTGTATTTGCGTAATCAGCTTGCTAAACTGTAACAGTATTTTACGCTCTTTCTGTTTTGCCTTGCACAATGTTCGTGACCTACATGTTATTAATCTACTCAATTTATTCATAATCTATTAAAAATCTGATCTAGTGTACAATATACAGAAACATTTGGCTGCAAGCTGTCAGACTGCATCAGCTACCAAAATATTCCACCAATATACTTAAAATTTTCACTGTTTTTTGTATTTTACTTGACGTTTATTAACACTCAAAATTATGTCAGACACTGCCCAAAACGCATGAATTGGCATTTCATAGACTCTACTATTTAAAAATTTCCCGGGAGAGGATGCCCCTGGACACGCCTACGAGGTCTCGTGCCTTCGGCTCTCAAGTGCCCTTTTCAAGATTCTACCCCCGCCGATTTTCAGTTCTTCCGGCGCCCCTGTGAGTAGAATAGCCAAGGATAAATTTAGTGACACGTCTTTGAACCTTTCAGCCATAAAGAGTGGTGATCTTATCACACTCCGCTACCAACGAGTGGTGACTCCACTTCGCTAGCATGACCAAGGTGCATGAGATCTAACTAAGGTCATATAGAAAGAGCGCTTAAGGGATCAGAAGTCCGACGTGATACAAGAATCTTCTGTGCCTTAGCATATACATTGGATATACGGAGTCGTTATTTTAAGGTACTAGTGGTAAACACTCCAAAATCATTCTGAGAATCCTTTTTGACAATTGGAATACCATCTATAACATAATCATTCTCGACTGGATGTTTCTTTCGAGAAATGGAGAGTGATTCACATTTATCGGAATTGAAGTTCATTTTCCAATTATGTGCCCACGAACTTACGGCGTTTATATAATTTTGGAGTTGTATCACATCAAATTGGGAATTGATAATTCTAGCTAGCTTGGTATCATCAGCGAAGAAGGAAATCAAAGTGTCGCTTGATAGCGATTCCGCAAGGTCATTAATGTACCAAATAAACAGATGTGGTCCAACAATACTGCCCTTTGGTACTCTTGAAGGTAATTATTAGAGGTAATGCCTTTCACCAAAACTATTTTGTTCCGACCTATCTTTAATTTTAATCTTCGGGAAATAGGGGTGCATAATTTCATTTAGCTTGGAAAACCAGTGGTGATAAACACTGTCCAATAGTTACATCATCAGTGATGATATCTTCAAGATAAGAATTAAAACGTTCCTGTTTCAAAGCGTCAAAATTAGCATGTTTGAAATTATAAACTTCCGTGGTTGAACGTAACGGGAAGGTGATACGTAGGAAAGGGTAGTCGGCAACTGGATGATTCAATATCAATAATTAACAATTATTCGCCGAAGGCGAAGTGGTTTACCGGTATAATTGTTTTAGTATAAATTTTTAAAGAATAAATCAAATTAGTATTTTTGCACAAGTGAACATAACAAATCCTACAAGTTGATTGGTCAAATTTGACGTATTAAGCTGTTATATTCACCTACAGGTGATAACAAAACCGAAATTTTCAAAATGGCGGCTAGCCGTTTTGTGGAAGTTATACTGATAAAGAAATAAGCGAAATTAAAATAAATTCAGTCCCAAAAAACACAAAAGACTTGTGTAAAAATACTAAAACAATTATTCGCTTCAGGCTCGGTGATTATCGGGGAATTATTATTTGTTTAAAAAATTCCTGGTTTCTCATTTGCTAACAGCCAACTGTGAAATTGTCATATCAACTCAATGGCTAACCAAATATGGATTTTTCACATCCATATTAGCAAAATGACGTCAAAGAGTCAATATGAAAAAAATTTGGACGCGTTTGCGCCATATTACTATGACGATTACTGTTTCAGTGTTGCATGCATGCAGTGTTTCTTGTACGCACGCACGCTAATGATGGAATGACTTTTTGACCAAACTTAAAAAATAGTTTCCGTTTAGCATTAATTTGCTAAGTTCAGGAAATGGCTGAGAAAATTGGTAAAATGAAATGAAAAACTATTGCTCGAAATAAAGTTTTAATACACTTTTCACTTTACAAGTTTCGAAAACACAATACAACACAATAAATGCATGACATATCAAAAGAACTAGTATCGTACAAATTGAGATATCTATAGGATACAAAACAAAATGGTTTTAAAAGAATATCACGGCAAGGCTTTTCCTAACATTCGGGATAGTTTTTGCTATTTGTTTGAAGTGAATGTTTTGGAGTTTTAAACCAGTTTTAAATTGTCCGTGAATATGTTTTACACAGTAAAATAATAAAGGAATCCTACCTTTAGAGTTAAACACAAAATTCTGTGCTTCTTTCGTTTTCTGGGGACAGGTTTTTCAATGTTTCGTCGATTTCGAAACCAAATTTGACGAATCATTCTTTTTGAAAAGCATTAATATATATTTACTAGCCTGCTAGTAAATATTGCGTCAGATTTACTGGCCAACTAGACAATTAGAACGCGCGAAAGCTCATTTGGAATGCAAAATTTGTACTAATTGATGAGAGTAATAATAAGATCGAGAATATTTGCTTTTGAATTACTAAAACACCTTGTTGCGTTAAAATTGATCGCAAAGACGCATATGGCTGTGCTCACGTGAATACACTAACACAATGTGTTTTGTGAGATAGTCTAATCTTCGCGCCTCGCGCTTTCGCGTCTTTTTGTCGCGCCTCGGGCCTTTTTTTCGCGCCTTCTTTTCGCGCCTTTTTTGGCGTCTTGCGCCATTTTTCGCATCTTTTTGTATCTTTTTGTTTCGCGCCTTTTTTATTAGTCCACTGATCTGAGATAAGACTGGATAACGCATCTATAGTAAGCAAAAGTGAGTCACCGGCCGCCACCCGATTCTGGGGCCCCACTTTTGTATAGATTTGTATTATACAGTATGGTTGTTGTTTGCTTTTTTGCCTTGGCTACGTTTCTGACCGGAACAGAAGCATACAAGAAGAATTTTGAGAAAAAATTTTGGAGTATTATGGCTTTATAACGCCTCGAAACGGGATTTACAACTTTGAAGGATTGGAGAGCCTCAGACTTTGTTTATCAACACACGAACTCGTTTGGCTACTTTCATATAAAATCAACTCAAAATATACAAGAACAAGACGCTCCATGGAGCGTTAACTCGCTGGGGCTATACAAATACGCTCATTACTGTATATGATACATACAGTACTAAGCGGAAAAGTCGAATACGAGCGCGAAAGGCTTAACACATTAAAATGCGGTACCCTACAAATAAAACTTCCGGCGTTTATGCCCACAAGTAAAGTTATATTTTATAGTAGATATAGTACACTACATTAGTTACATTCTTCTGTCGGCCGCCAGTTTAAAACGTTCAAAATAAAATATTTTGGAGCTTTTGGGCTCAAAATATTATCAAAATGAAGAGAGAAGTGAGACGAATCCACTGGTATACGGCCGAAAAAGAGAAAACCAACGATACCAAAGTTATCAAGGATCAAACGTACTGCATTTTTTATAATTTGATCGATTTGTCAACAAATAATACAATTTCGCTTGGCTTTCAAAGACAAAGGCCACAAATCGCTAGAATACTGTTGTCAGTTGTTTAATAATACATTTGACATCCGTATGTACAATTTCTCATTCGTAAGTACAATTTCTTACGCTGAATCGAACCGTGGTATTCTTATCCTTATTGAGCCATTTATAGACATTACAAATACAAGGTCGGGCAAACGGCGAGTGATTTGTAAACAAATACGTACTGCGAGCGATTCGTCAACAATACAATTTCGCTTGATTTTCAAAGGCCACAAATCGCTAGAATACTGGTGTTTAGTAATACATTTGGCATCCGTAAGTACAATTTCTTACGCTGAACGGTGGTATTTTTATCCTTATTGCGCCATTAGGCATTTAATACAAATACAATAATAACAATATCATATTTCACACTACAGTTTTCACGGACTGTTATTCGATAAATTTTATATTGATATGACACCAATATGCCTCTCATAAAGTAGTTAATTATTAAAACTACGTTGTACAGTTTAAGTTATAACCTTTTACCTTGAAATTGTCTTTGACTCGTTTATATTCAGATTCAGTATATTATGATCGTGCACGGGAATTCAACGATCCAAATTTCGGATTTTCAGAGTCGTGCACCAAGAAAAACGCATTAAATAAACTAGCAAGAATATCCAGAGTTAGACACAATGCAAAATCCATAGAAAACAGGTACAATTCGTTCAAAATTTTCACGAAATTGTTTGAAACATTTTGCCCAGTCCACGAAAGGCCCCGCCATTTTGAAAAGGATCAAGCAGCTCATTAATATTCTATTTTGTGGCTATCGACGATTGGAGATTGAAGCCGAAACCTATACTCGCCTGGGCACAAGTGTCCCAGCGAGTAATTACTGTTACTGGACGACGGTAATCGGTTCTCTTGGTAGGATGAATTTAAAATCTTGCAAACTGGCAGAGCCAGGATATCGGCGTTCTCTTTCAATTAGCCTTTCTCACGCAGCCATTTTTGAGTGGCATTTCAGCCGAGGTCTGCGAGATAAGTCAACATACAGTAACAGCGACTTTTTACAATTTTTTGGACAAATTATGGTACGTTTGCTTTGTAAATGGTTAGTTTATTTTGAAAAAATAACACTTTCCGACGTTGGTGGATTAGCGACTTCAAATGGTGGGTCATCCATGGTGGATCTTTGGGACCTTGATCTTCATTTCAATATTATGAAAAATGGTCTGCCTTTGAATCAATTATTCGGTTTGGGATGGACATTCTCCTTCCCAAAAAACTATACAGAAACGGCTCGATGACCCACCATGGATGACCCAACATTTGAAATCCTTAACCACAAGTATGATCTCCGACATCTTCAAAGCCTGTCATCCACTAGTGATGAAACTAATGAAACCAACGAAGGCAACGCATCTCTTTCACACTTAGCGAATACCATAAATTAAACCTTCCTAGACCCAATGAACACGTTCCAACCTCTAAATTCTGACCACCCCCAAGCCTTAAACGTGTCCGGCACTAGTAACCAATTACCATCTACAATTACCACCACAGAATCGCATATCTTCGAGAAATTATCCAGTATAGTACCTACGAAGGTCATGGCCCAGACACTATTCCTGGTTGGCTTCTCAAAGAGAATGCCGATGTACTAGCTAGTTCCGTGTGCAAGATTCTCAATTCTTCTTATCTCGAAAATCGTTTACCCGCTGCTTGGACGTTGGTAGATGTAATTCCCATTCCAAAACAGAAGCCTGTACGAACTTAAACAAGGATTTAAGGCCCATTTCGTTAACACCAATAGTCTCAAAACTAGCCGAGGAAGTGGTAGTTGAACGGTTCATTAAACCGGCGATTCTCGAAGTAGTGGATCCTAACCAATATGGAACAGTGCCGAAATCATCTACCACGCAAGCCCTTATTAGCATAGTCCACAATGTTGCTAAAGCCACTGATGGCAACGGGGCCTTAGTTAGGCTTGTTCTATTGACTTTAGGAAAGCATTTGATCTCATC